GAGGAAGCAGAAGTTATGAAAAAGTCACAACTATGAAGAAAGTAACATATCATCAGCAAAGAGTTGGAACTGTAGCTAGTTGGGAGCTCCTTGAAGTCCTAGAGACCTTATCACCTTCATTTTGGTATTTTCTAGCAAAATAATTTTGCATAGAAATGATAATTAGATTGACTTCAAGGGTACAACTTACAGCAGTTGAATCTATTTTGTGGCAGGTGATTTATGGACATTGCCACATTTAAGAGTCATAATCACTTTGTCAGTTGTAAATATTAAATAACTCCATTTTAAAGATGAGGCAGTTCAAGCACAGAGAAGTCCAAAGTTGCACAGCTAGTGAGTACGTGTCAGAATCTGGTGCCAAAGTCCAAACCCTTAACCGCTCTACCACCTAGTGTCTCTTCTTTGCCCTTACTTTTCAGTTTACAAGCCTATTTTTTTTTTTTTTTTTTTTTAAAAAAACAGAACACTTAAAAGAAATTATCTCAGTTCCTGTACCTCTCACACCAGAAATGGAATAATGGGAAAACATGAATTAAGCTCTAGTATGAGGATCATTTCCACATCCTTCCCCAGTTAAATATATGACTTTTGGAAAGTTCCTTCTTCTTGGACCTCAGTTTCAATTCTGTATTCTCTAAGCTGTCTTCATCTCTAAGGTATATTGTTCTGTGATCCCGTCTGAGACTGAGGAGTCAGAAGTCAAACTGAATAACCTATTCATGATATCTTTCACCAAATGGTTGTTTTTTTTTTTTTTTTTTTGAAGAAATGTACTAGAGGCCACTATAAACTTACGATTTCTTTATTCTCTCTAAGTAGACCCAGTTGCAACATCTTTTCTGTTCTTAGCATTCTGACAACCAGACTCTAATGAACTTATTCTCACACTTGTCATTTTTCTTTACTCAAGAGTAATATAATCCTAGGTCCTGAAAGCATCAAACATAGTATACTGAGCTAGGAAGGCACTACTTTTTTGGGTAGCTGGGCATTTTCTAAGTGACTTATTCTCTATATTTCTACAAAACAATGGAGTGGCCATGTCCTCAGCTCCTGGAAAACTTACCTCATGCAATAATATCATCAATGTTTTTTTTACTTTATTACCTCTGTTTTCCAGCACTGAACTCTGGATTGCTGTAGTCCCTGAAATATTGCAAGTCTCCAATCAGTCAGTTCAGTTAAGAAAGCATTTCCTGAGAGTATACAGTGTTGTGGAGGGACAGAAAGATAAATAAAAGGTGGCTTTTACTATCAAGAAATTTGTAATTATAGGGGGTATTAGAAAGCTCTTAAGTCTAACACAAAATTTATGCCTGTTGCCATGAAGGTGATGTTAGCAATTATATACCTTATACCTAGTGCATTCTTAGCTCTGTGCTATTGGGTTGTCAGAAAAGTCATAACACATTTTTTGCTTCAAAAACATAGAAAAAATTACATCATGACTTTTCCAACAACCCAATAGATACTGTGTGGTACACAAGGTTCAATGGGTGATTGTTAGTGATGCTTAAATACTGAGTATATCAATAGAAGGGAAAAGCATATGAGCTAAAGTGATGAAAGTTTTGAGGAAACTTTTCCTAAAAGAAAGCAGCCTTGTCTCTGGAATTTGTCTGGTAGATATAATGGTGTCAGAGTTTGCTATCCTGCTATGGCAATGGTAACCCACCCTGGGTAGCCTCTACTTTCAGGGACCCCGGGTCTCCAGTATGGACGCACCCTAAATGCCACTTTGACCTCATAAAAGAGAATGTACTAAGCAGAAACTAAGGGATGATCTCTATCAACTTTTTTTTTTAAATCTCAAAGTGCCTATTACATTATTGTGCAGGGTGTACAAGGAGAGTGATTATTTACACATTAAGCAAGCTGATTCAGAATGTTTTTTGTTATCCCAAAAGGTGAGGGACTGGAAACAAAAACATTTGTACCATAAATAATACTTCTTACTGATTCCAAAACCTCTTATTTTCTAGATACCGCATTCCCTTTTAAAAACACCCCAACACCTAAAGTACTGTAGTAGCTATTTCAATTATATCTAGTGAAATAACAGCAAGACAGGATAATTCTGCCAGTAGCAAGACACAAAACATTCCATTAAAACCAGATAATGTTGAGTTGTCATTACAGCTATTTAAGTCAAATACCAGCCAGTTATCATAGATCAAATAATCTTCATAGTAGAGCAGGCTGGCTACTTTTAGAATTTGAATGTCTGGAGCGATAACAAATGGTTCATTGTAGGACACCCATCTTTAGACAGTTGCAGATGTCTGCTGCCTTCAGGTATTGAACAAGAAGGAAACATGCCAGTGAATGAACACCCACCCATACAAGAAAGGCATTTGATCACCTTCACTTTTTATCCTTACAGATTATCCTGAAGGCTCATCATCTCTTGCAGTGGAAACGGAAACATAGCAGTTTTCACATTTCCTTCATCTCTCAGACAGGTCAGTATTCTGAAGGCGACTCATACAATAGCCACCTAGATAGCTAAGAGGCAGCCTTGAGAGTAGATCTAGAGAAAGAATATGTCCTCACACTGGTGAACAAGTTGTTAAGTTCTTCACTCTTGTATTGTTTATAATCAGACTATTAACTTGGGGTAAAAGATCCCAGGGTATCCCCAAACAGCCATACAGCCCATTCAGGCTATTTTTTTGTACTGTGAATTATAAACTCTGCTGGTGCATTTCAGGCCTCTGAAATGATATAGATTACAAATAGGTTCTTTTGCCTGACTTCACTGTGTCAGTTAATAACCTACACATATACCACTCACAGGCAAAAGCCATCATCCTAACATTCCAACTCTTGAAAAATGCTACTAATTCGTTCATCAGTGAGAGGCAGCCTTATCCATGGAATTCTCTATGGCTTAGTGGAAAGCTAAACAGCCTTCTCCTTGCAACAGTCACAGGTACATAAACCTATGGAATTCAGTATTATGAGAATGAGAATTTTAATAATAGACATAATCAAGAAGCTTGGAGCTCTGATCTGATAAGCCTTCTAAATCTATTTCCATGAAAAAGCTAGCAATTATTAAGAAACCTATCAATTTGTGGGGTTTCAGTACTTGACTTTTTCTCATATAATACCCTGGTATATACCATATAGATACTGTATAATACCTTATATATACCATCCCCTTTGTATGTGCTTGATACGTGTTATTTAATCCTCACATCAACTCTGTAAGGTGAATGTTACTATTCTCATTTTACTTATGACAAAGCTGAAGTCCAGAGAGATGAAACCATCTATCCAGCTAGTAAGTGGCTAACCTAAGATTGCATCCCAGGTCTACCGACCTCATATCATGTGCTTTCCACTATAGCACTACATTTAAAAACTTCACTTGGGCTTAGAAATTATAAGTAATTATAAGTGAAGTGCACCTTCACTTATAATAAAAGATTAAGAAGAGGGAAAAATTGAATTGGTCTTCTGCCCAAAGCCCTGATGATCTGTTTAATGTAAGGTAAGACAACTGCTATAGTAGTATTTATTATCTTGATTTTGTTCTAATTAGTGCTTATCTTTCTCATGGTTATGTTCACATTTACAATGGGTATTCTGTGGTGCACTGGCACATTGACATGTTCACATATTAAAGAGGGTAAACATTCTCTGACAAACAAATTTAGGGAACCCTGAATAAGCAAAATTATCTTTAGCATAGGAATTCTCAAGGCTTTTACTATGCAAGTGAGTTGTGACTTTGCAAAAAAAAAAAAGGGATGTAGTAGCCCTGTTAACTTATTTGACTGAATTTATTTTCTTTGGAAAATAAATGGAACTTTATCATTAGTGTATGTAAGGACCTATAATATGCTAAAGAACAAAAGTTCAATAAGTGAAATAAATTCTTCACAAACTTATATGACCATATAACCCTTTTTATTTTCAGTGAAAAGTAAATCATAAAATATATTTTTTGATATGATTCCCTTGAAAAGCAAAATTACCTTAAGAATAGGTGGTATTTATACTTGCTCAAATAAATTAACTGATTTTTTAATGTTGCTGATACTAATAGAAGTGTTTGGAAACATTGGAGAAAAAAATAGCAGAATCATTTCAAAACTTATCAAGATACAAAATTTTTACTGTATATTGATAATAACTATAGTGATGTTTGTATCAACTCCAAATGGAAAATAACCTGAATGTCTATCAATAGGAAAATTATTGAATAAGTTATGTATGTCTGAAGTATTAGATATTTTTTACATATTTCCTTTTGTTTTCATTCAAATTCTTTTAATTAATTTTTGTTGTTGTCATAATACGATTATTTTATAGCCTTGCTAGTGTTTTGACAGTATAGGATTTCCCCCTCCCAGATGTAATCTTCCACCCCCAACGCACCCATAATTGTCTGTCATAGTCCACTGTGGTCTGTCCCCCATCCTCTTGTTTCCTTCCTTCCCCTCTGCTCCCCACCTCAGCTGTATGCCTCAGGTCTATGGTCAGCTTACTAGTTTTGTCTTTTTCCTCACCTTTTGTTCTGTTTCCCTGTATTTCTCCTACAAGTGAAACTATCTGATATTTTCCTTTTTCCTTCTGCAACATTCAGTTTTCAAGGGTTGGTTTTAAAATTTGTCTTTGTCTGATCCTTTGTTTGTTTTTTATATTGCACATATGAGTGACACCGTCCAGTATTTATCGTTCTCCTTATATCCCTGCTAGCTCTGTCCATATTACCAGATATGGCATGAGTTTGTCTTTTTTGATTGCTGAGTAGTATTCTATTGTATATAAATACCACCTGTTCTTGATCCAATTGTCTGTTTTGGGGTATTCAGGTTGTTTCCATATCTTGCCTATTGTAAATAGTGCTTCAATAAACATGAGAGTGCAGATTTCCTTTCGAATTAGTGTTTTTGTATTTTTGGATAGATATCTAGGAGTGGGATTTCTGGATCATATGACAGATCCATTTTTAGTCTTTTCAGAAACTTCCACACAGCTTTCCACAGGGCCTGGACCAGTCTACATTCCCACCAGCAGTGCAGGAAGCTCCTTTTTCTCCACATCCTTGCCAGCACTTGTTCTTTCTGCTCTTTTTTGATATGGGCTATATCACAGGTGTGAGATGAAAGCTCATTGTAGTCTTGATTTGCATTTCTCTAGTAAGTAATTATGAACATCTTTTCATGTGCCTGTTGCTCATCTTCTTTGGAGAAGTGCCTATTTAGCTCCTCTGCCCATTTTTGGATTGGGTTTTTTTTTTCTCTTTATTGAATTGTATGAGTTCTTTGTACACCTTTGATATCAGTCCTCTATCAGATGTACAGCGTGCAAATATTTTCTGCCATTCAGTAGAGTGTCTTTTCATTTTAGTTGTGGTCTCTTTCGCTGTGAAGAAGCTTTTTAGTTTGATGTAGTCCCAGTTCATATTTTCTTTTGTTTTCCTTACTTTGGGTATGAATCTGTAAATATATCTCTGAGGTTCATGGCTTAGTGTTTTGCCTGTGTTTTCTTCTATTTATTTTATGGTTTCAGGTGTTACATCCAAGGCTTTTATCCATCTCATTCAATATTTTTAAAAAATTAAAGTGATGAATAAAGTGAATATTCATCTATATACAACTTAGAATTAACAAATGCCAATATGGTTTTTCATGTCATACCAATTGTCATATATAAAAAATAAATTGTGATAATTGTTTAAAAAGGGTATTGATTGTAGATCATAGTTTCTTTAAAATTGAATGACAAACTTGGGAGTGGGAAGAATACTTGTAAAATACATAGCACACAAATTTAACATCCTGAATTACAAAGCTTTGCAAAACACTATTTCAAAATGGACTAAGGATGCAGTCAACAAAATACAAATTAAAATGAAGAATAAACATTAAAATTGTACAACTTCACTAGAGAGAAATGCAAATTAAAATAATACAAAATATCAACTTTTGTCTACTATTATAGTTTTTACAAATTACAGTACCTAGTGTTGGCAAGGACATGTTGAAATAGATGCTCTTATATACTGCGGATATAAGGTTAAATTCAGTAATCCTTTTTGAGGCTAATTTAGCAACATATATAAAGACCTTAAAATGTTCATACAATTTTATCTGATTACTTCGTTTTAGGAGTATATTTTAATGAAATGATCAGAGTTCTGCACAACTATTCATTATTGATTTCTCTTAATAGAAGAAAATTAGAAACAAATGACTGTCAATAGACCAATAATGAAATAAATTACTGCTTCATTATGATAAAATATCCTACACCATAAAAAGTAATTATTCTTAAGAATAATTAATAGGGTTATGGGGAAAAAACTGTATAAGTGCATTTAATTTCAATAGTACATTTTTATCAGTTTATTGAGATTTGACTACTTAAAGTGTACAATTCAGTGAAATGAAACTAGACCATTCTCACACCATACACAAATATTAACTCATAATGAATTAAAGATTTAGATGTAAGACCTGAAATCATAAAACACATAGAAGAAAACATAGGCAAAACATTTTGTGACTTCAGTTTCTGGGATCATTTTGAGGACTCAACTCGAATAGCAAGGGAAACAAAAGTGAAAATAAACCGAGAACAACATCAAACTAAAAAGATTGCGCACAGTGAAAGAAACTGTTATTAAAATGTAAAGACACCCTACTGAACAAGTAAAGTATTTGCACATCATACGTCTGACAAGGGGCTAATGTGCAAGATCTACAAAGAACACATAACACTCAATAACAACTTAAAACTAGTAACTCAATCAAAAATAGGTAGACGAGCTAAATAGACACTTCTCCAAAGAATACATATAGATAACCAAGAAGCACGTGAAAAAATGTTCATCATTGTTTATCATCAGGTAAATGCAAAACAAAAATCATAGTGAGATACCTCCTCATACCAGTGAGAATGGCTCATATCAAAAATTACAGAAATAACAATTGTTGACAAGGATGTGCAGTAAAAGGAACCCTGGTACATTGTTGGTGAGAATGTAGACATGTTCAGCCCCTATGGAAAAGACTATGTAGGTTTCTCCGAATGTTACAAATAATTCTACTCTATGAACCAGCAAATGCACTCTAGGTATTTATCCAAAGAATACAAAGACACTAATCCAAGGAGATATATATGCACTCGTATGTTCATTACAGTGATATTTACAATAACCACGTTACAGAAACAACCTAAGTGCCCAAAGGCAGAGGAGTAGAAAAAGAACATGGAGTATATGTACACATTATACTAGTCAGCTAACAATGAAAGTGAAATCTTGCTATTCGCAACAACATCAGTGGAACTGGAAGGGATTATGCTAAGTGAAATAAGTCAGAAGGAGAAAGATAAATACCAGATTATTCCACTCATATGTAGAATATAAGGAAACAAAATGAAGGAACAGATGAAACAAACCAAAACAAACCCTAGAAATCTGAGTGTACAGTTGAGCATACCAGAGGGGGCTGTTGAAGTGGGAAATCACAAAGGAGGAGGGTTCACATATTTATGGTGGAGGATTATTGGTGATTGGTATTGGGTGTGGTGTCATAACATACATATGAATATACAACATATACAGTGCCGTAAACTAGTATACAGAAAAATAAAGTCACCCATAATCACTGTACCTAAATAACTCATGTTAACATTTTTATTGTATCCTTTTCACTATTTTCTATGAATATATTTTTTTAAGCTTTGAGATTTTTTTTTAAGATTTATTTATTTACTTATACAAGCACTGGGTACAGTCAGAAGCGTGGAAGGGTGAGAGAATTCACCAGAGCCAGAGCGGGGAGCAGAGCAGGCAGAAGGACCAAAGTACACTGCTGAGGGGAGCAGCGGGCGGAGGAGAGGTCTGCGCGCCATGCGGGACCCTCCTCCGGTGGCCGGGGAGCAGCCAGGGATCGAACCGGCACTGCAGAGGCTGCAGGCAGCTTCTCAACCCAGCGCTCAACTGCTGCGCCACCGGGGAGGCCCAAGCTTTGAGATCTTAATGTGTTTTTTAAATCTGCTGTTTTCACCAGTACCAAATGCAATTTCCTTTATCAATGTACTGTTTGTTTAGCCATTTCTCCGCTGTCCAGTAAGACTTTGTCCAGTATTTCACTATTATGAATAAGGCTGTTAAAAATAGCAATGAAGAGCACCTCTCCTGCCCACCTGTACCTGTGCAGTTTTTCCTCTTCACCATCCTTCTCCCTTGCATCAGCCCACCTGCCCACCTGTGAACATGCCTGGGCTTCTCTTCACTGAAGACCTTCTCCCTTTGCAAAGCAGCAGAGGCAGTTCTCCTGCTAAGGCTTCCTGCCCGTGACTACACAGGCCTCCCTTTTAATAAACCTGTCCCTCTCAGGGCAGCTCTTTCTGCCTGCTTGTGTCTGTGCAAGCATTCTTTACCCTTCTCTCCCTTTTATAATAAACCTGCCCTTTTGGATATTAAAAAAAATGGACAAATAATCTTCCTTATTTATAATTTTCTTAAGGTAGAATTCTAGAAACAAAAACTACAGTTAGGAACGTTTTAAAGACTTAAAGATACGGCTGAATTGTCTTCCAGAAATCTTATACTAACTACTTGAATGCGTACTATGTGCAGAGATTTTTTAGGTAGATTTTATTATATCTATTTTATAAATGAAGGGACTTAGGTCTGTTGACGTTATTTGTCCAGAGTTACAGAGATAGCAAATAACAAAGCTTGAACTCAAATTCATTATTGCCCAACTTCAAAACTCATGTTATTTTCATGTGAATTTCAAAAATCATTTTCAATTATCAAATTATTATATATTTACTAGAGAAAAATGTGGAAAGTACAAATAAAAGTGTAGGGTAAATGAAAATAAATTACCAATGAGTTAACCATTTTCAACAAGTTAGTATATTTCCTCTATGTATTGTTCCAGATACAATTTCTGGGTTAAAATGATTACCACATTGTATATGATTTTCCATCTTGCCTTTCTAACTTAACATGTTTTTCTATGCTGACCATACTCCTCATAAAAATAATTTTAAAGATTACATATTATTGTCAATGGATGTTATCACATGGATATTTACAGTCATTCAGCTCACCTGTGAATTTCTTCTTTTCATCCCAGAACTCTCCATGATGTTGACCGACTTCAATGTTGAGAGCCATTCTGATCTTCAAAATAAGTCACTGTGGCAAATTGAAGGCTTCACTGTTTGAAAGTTTTCCATCAAATAGTTTCGGTGCAGATAGATGTTTCAGGACTTTACAAGTTACTTCACTTACTGACTGAATTTGTCACTCGGATGGTTGTTGTTTTCATGCCAGTCTTCCACGCTTTCCCCACCCCCAATCTGTGAAAGCCTGAATGTGACACATATATATCTTTCTAGAGTTTCTTTTCATTCATCTTTTGATATAAAGGGGAATTCAAAAGACTTCCCTGGAGTCTTTAATTCCCCTGAAAAGAGTACTAATCATATCTATAGGGTCTTTGTGGTACTGAGGGAATTAAGACTGCGTTTGGTGCGTATGTGCCTGTGCATTAAAGCATATATATGTGCGGCAAATTTATACGGAATTCTTCTGTGGGGTTGTGAAAATCAAGGTTAGAAAAGTCTGAGGTTTATATCCAATCATACTTTTCTCCTAAATATCTGTTTAAATATTTGCTGAACTTTGAACACCATCCCTATATCAGATGCCTAAAATCCAAAAGGGGGATTCAATAAACTGACCAAGGTCCCTGAATTGGGAATTGAACAATGTAAAACCTGTTCTGTGTCATAAATACGTATTGTTCTGAAGGCAACAGAGTTAATAGAGAACATTAGATCAGATTTCCATTCTATTAAACAACAGTTGTTGTTTTATACTCTTTTAGTGCCAGGCTGTAGTTTTTTATTCTTTTCTCTACTACTTAGATTTTGTTTAGCCTTTATGAATTACTTGTATGATGGAAAAACAAAATGTAGGCCTAAGTTATGAACTGTAGGTTTTGTTAAGGGGCTTAAGGGTGATTTTAAGGTTTAGTTACAATACCATTTATAAAGTTTCACAGTTGAAATTAGTGTAAGGATTAGCACTAAAGACAAGCCGTCCAGTAGGGGTGAGTGTACAGATAGTGATAACCTAACACTAATGTGCCAATTCTTTCTCTTTTTTTTTCTTTAGTTTCACTGATAGCTCAGCCATTAAGATTGTTTACATCCATTTCTCCATTTATTTATAATCAGCCTTTTTTTTTTATTCCTAGTGCCTGAATCAGTGAGTATGGACACTAATGCTGCTTCTTTATAACAATAAGAATACCTTAGAGTACTGATGGTTTTCTTTTCTCAGCCAGTTCTTCTGACAATAGAAGCCCCAACTCTTAAAAAGATCAGTGGGAGTTAGGGGCATCCTACAGATAGCTATCAAGGAGTTGAGCTTCCGAAAAGATGTTAGGTTTACTGAATTTTCCCCCTTAAAACCTTTTTGAGTAAAAGTGAGTTGCTTACCACAAACAATTCTGTGTTCAGGCTCCTGTGGAGCTGTGAAAGGGAGCAATCAGCTGCCTAAAGCAATAAAAGTCCTGTTCATATAAACTCTCTCTTAAGTAATTGTGTTCAAGGTAAGACATGTAGCATAAATTAAATTGATTGGGCCAGCATTTCATTTTAGAGAATACTAGACATGAGTAACACTGTTAGTAGGGCCAGGGACTGTTTCTTAAACTCAGACAATAAGAAGCAGCTTAGAAGACTAAGCACAGTGAAATCATACGTTCAGATTGGGAGGTTTTTCCCCTTCTTCTCTCCCTGGAAATCACTGTCTTGTTTAAATTTCTCTTGAAAGTTTATTTGGTTTTCCACATGGTCTTATGATTGACACGGCTTGCCTTTTATTCCTGTAGAAATGTACCCTTCTCTAAAGGTAGAGTCGTTACTTACTCCACAGCCAGCGTGCCTCAAAGCAATATTTTCCTTTCCCGTCTGTCATATTCTGCCAAGGGTTTAGAACAGAGCAGCTGCTAACTATGATTCAAAGTCAAGACGGAATCAAGAACTTTTGATTCATAGTGTATATCACATTACATATCACAGTTTGACCTCACAGAAATCAGGTCATAAATGACAGTGTCAGGAAACTACAGGGAACCACTAGAATGGTAAAACTCAGGAGAGCTATCATGCAAAGCTGATTGTTAATGTCTTACAGATTTACACTGTTTTCAAAAGGATAAAATCAAGATTTTCCCTGGGGTCTTACAGAAGAAAACCTATTCTGGTCTCAGCCCTTTGATTCCACTAGTTTATGTGCTCTGATAAGATCCCTGTCCAAACATTGAGTATTGACTGCTGTACATAAGTATCCCCCAAAAAGTGGTTGACTATTGATAAAGAAGACAGGGAGGTTTGTTTGATCATTAGAGTACCCTGATCTGACTCTTGTGTGTGCTTTTCCTTGGGGCCTGTCCAGTAACCTGTGGAATCTCATTCCCCAATATTTGGTACCCATCTTCCCCACTTGAAGACACTCATTGTTAGGATCCTACCACTGAAAGGTGCTAAGTAACTCCCGAGTGCTCTTAAATGTCTTTACGTTTGACTATAACAGTATTTCTAAGCAAACCAGTGTGCTCCAGTCTTTCTTCCATGCTCTCATTGCTGACTTGTTCTTACAGAACTTGGAGTACTTTATTAACGTTCTTTCATTCATTCCAATAATGTCCGTGGAAAAAAAGAATGGAAATTATTTTCTCCATAGTACAGCTGGAAAAATTGAGAGCAAAAGGAATGAAGTACCCCCCAAAGGCACATAGCTGTCTTGGACAGAATTCAGTTACATGTCTAGCGTACTGTTAGAATGACTTGCTTCCCAGTACTGCTGCTGACACACAGCAGCTTAGAACATTGAGAGCAATTAGGGCAGAATCACATTTCAGACAAGTCCCATTTTGTACAAAATCAGAAAGTATGCAATTTTCTATGTGACAGAAATGTAATATGTGCCTCTTTCTCCCACTGGCCCCATGTGACACATTTCACACTACACAGCATCAGCCAGTGCCATCATTTCCTGTGGTACCATAGAGCCCAACTTCAGGGCTGGCTTTGCTAGGGAAAAGAATGTGCTTCCCTACATTTGTGCCAAATTGCACAAAGTGTAGACATTGAGCTAATGAAGATTTAAGCACAATTCTATCAGGTATGTTTTAAGAATATTGAATGTACATTATTGTAACATCCATCTGAAATTCAGCATGCCCCAGATTCACGGGAATGTAACAGTCATGCAAAGCCTATCCCTTTGCCTCTCATCACTCATATATTTGTGTGTGCATGCATGGGCGCACACACACAACAGCTACCAAACCTGATTGCCTGGTTATCAGGAGCAAAACTTTGAAGGAATGATTCTCCTTTCCTTTTAGAAAAAGTCCCAATGGTCACTGCAAGTAAAGTACATTCCATTTGTACATTCCAGAACCTCTGTTCCCAGAATGGCTAAGATATTCAGTTGGTGCAAAAGACATGTTCTGTGCCTGTGTCAGAAGCGCAGAAGGCATATAACAAGATTGTTAGACCCTTCCATAAGTCCCATGTTCTTAGGAAATTCATGAGCTCCATCCAATCAGTAGAAATTGGTTTATTAGATTTACTGCATTTCTTTAATCATAACTATAATGTACCATATTAAATTGTAGCTTTGCATGCAGCTATTATGTAATAAAATAATGACTGGGTGACTCCTAATAGCATGCAACCATGACTGTTTACTTCCTCAAAGGGCCTGGGGCTTTGTCCTGCACAGTGTCCAAAACTATTAATTGTGTTCTTAGTAAGCAGCTGGTGTACAGTCATCAATCAGCACAATGAGTTAAAACATAATAAAATGCAAGGTATCAGGAAATAGATTCATAGTACGGGTTAGCATTAAAGAGTGGAAAAAGCAAAGAGGTAAGATGCATTCAAGGAATAATTGCTGTCATCCTGCTGGTTAAATCAGCAAAGGGATACGGCAGGAAATCTGGTAATTGGTGGCCGTAAATATATGAAATGCACTGGAGAGCCAGAAAAAGAAAGGCACTGGGGATATTAGTAGTTAAGCTCATGTTGCCAATTAGCTACAAATCCTTTTTTCCACTATCTGCTCAAAGTGATTGTTTATAGTATTCTTAGAACCATGTGTCTTGCTGCTGAAGTACCCACAAATGCTGACCAGCTTTTTCCTATGTCCTTCATTAAAAGCATATGCTTAACATTGTCGTTTCTTTTATGTATTATGGTTTTGTTAAACAATGTTGTCAGAGCCTAACATTATAAACCACTTGGATGGGAGTTTCTGTACATCTCATTTCAGGGAATATAGTGGTTATTCATTCCCAGGTTGAGTGATAATGTGTGGTATGTAGCCTCCTCTGTAATCTTCCAAAGACTCTTGCCTGTGCCCAGTATTTTTCATGTTCCTACATCCCTACATGAATACGAGATGGGAAATTAGCAGCAATGACTTTTAGCTAGAAATCTGACTAGTGTACTTAATTATGTTCAGTCTCTGCTAAGCCTCACACATATTTTGCCTTTTCACCCTGTTTTAATACCTAAAAGGAAAAGGCTTATATACCTAAGGATGATGGGACTTCCGGTTTGCCTTTCCTTACACTCAAGACTGTTTACTATTCTCCAGGTGCACATCACCTGAAAAAAGAATATTTGAATCGGCCCACATTGAGTAAGCCTCAAATAAGTTTCCCCTCAGTAGATGCACCATTTGCACAAAATTCTTTTCACACAGAATGGAGAAAAGCCCATGCCATCCCCATTAGCCACTAGTAAGACAGAAGTCATTAAAAATGCAAAGCATTGGAAGCTGAAGTTTGAAACAGTCACTGCCAACCTTGACTAAACAGTAATGGAGAACTTGATCATTTGGGAAAGGCCCAACACTTAGAGATCAGACTTTATACAAAACCAGAAGTCATTTATTCCAGTTAAGCATATATTTTTTTTTTTTTAAAGATTATTTATTTATTTATTTATTTATTTATACAAGCACTGGGTACAGTCAGAAGTGTGGGAGGGTGAGAGAATTCACCAGAGCCAGAGCAGGGAGCAGAGCAGGCAGAAGGACTGAAGTACACTGCTGAGGGGAGCAGTGGGTGGCAAGAAGGGTCTGCGCGCCATGTGGGACCCTCCTCTGGTGGCCGGGGAGCAGCCGGGGATCGAACCGGTGCTGCAGAGGCTGCCGGCAGCTTCGCAACCCAGCGCTCAACCGCTGCGCCACCGGGGAGGCCCCAGTTAAGCATATTTTTAAAAGGTGCTAGGTAAGAACCTCAAACATCCCAGATAAAATCCCATTTGATTTACTCCAATGCTCCTGCTACAGACAGCTTAATTTGCATCACAAATACAATAAAATATTCAAGTACTAGGAACAAAAGACAACTAATTTATTTCTAGATTAAAAAGGCACAAAAGAGACCTTTATCAAGACTGATTTGAGTAGAGGTTACTAGAGAAGTGTAAGTATAGATATTTAAAGGAAAACTATAGTTATAAAGATACATGTTTATACTGGAATGTGTAGACATTGACATGCATTTTTATAAGCAAAAATTTTCAAATTTTCATCAATATTCAATGATATTGAAAACCTAGTCAGTTTCTCTGAATATTAAAATATTTTCACAGCATCATATTTTAATGCTTAGACTTCCAACTTGGGATTTTATGGTGGGAGAAGGGAGTTTATGATAGAAAAAAAACCCACATTTTAAAGCAATTTTTAAAGCTATTTGAATATTTTATGATTTTGGAAAATTTTCCTCATAACCTTAACTGAAGTAATCATATCAATTTTACAAATTAACACAGTATCTAACCCAAATCCAGACTATGTTGACAAATTCTAAAGTAAATCTGGCTGTAGCACATAATTTCAGTGAAAATGCAGTTCACTAAACAGGACAAGCAAATCTTTTGTTAATTGGACCATTAAAGAACGTAGATTACCAATTAGTCAAAAATTGTCATTAAATTATACTTACAATGCACAGTCATACCATACATAAATTACCCTGGACAATATTTATTAATGTAATTCAGAGTGTTGACTGAAATAAAAGTCTTAATAATAGACAGTTTATTAGATAATGATAGTGAAAATTCAAACCCAGAAGCATTCTGCGAACTGTTTCAACAAACACAAATTTGAGTTAGGAAAAGTGAGTCATTGAAATGGATTCTGATTTTTGCCTATAGACTTAGATCTTTTGATTTCCTGAGTTATCGTGACCTAAAGATACGTTGGTGTTATCTATGTGCAGAGGAGGACAAATGCTGGAATTTAATTACTTCCTTGAATTTTATAGAATACACAGTGGAGGAACAAAGGCTGGATTCCCATTGTTTACATCTTCTTTATCTGGCTCCTCAGTGGAGGTTGAATAATTGATTTAGGGGTAAGCAGCAGATTCCTGCATGGTGATATCACATAACAGGAATTGAGTCCTGGCTTAAAGCCCATGCAGATGGCTTTGCTCTCTTGCCTGCTAGGCCTGGGGAGGGGAAGTGCTTCCAAGAATATTTGCAATATGTTCACTTTAGGTACCCAATACAAATGCAAATCTGAAGTTCCTTCTGAAGCACAAGAGTTAGACACTATTACTGGGTGATGAGGGTTGCGGTTCTGTGAGAGAAAAAAAAGTCAAGGGGGAATACTGGAGGAAATAAGTGAGATAGTAAACTAACATTTTAACCCCTTTTCCACTTGATTATAATCATAAAATTGAAGCCATCTGTTCCCTACCTATAGATTTTCAATCTACTGAAATTATCTTTTTTAAGGGTAAAATTAATTTATCTCATATCCTAACAGCTAATTGATCAGGAGACAACTTTAGATTTGCATTTCAATCATTGCCTCTGTCTTACTATCTTAATAAAATCAGCCAGCGCCCCTATTTCTAAACGTGTTTAAAGTTTCACTTGTCATAAATTTATGAAGTTTTCTACTTTTTATTTGTTGAAAGTTTTTGAGAACCTTAGTTCAACCAAAGTCAACAGAAACAACTGCCTTCATACAACCATTTTTTAAAAATGTAGATGCTACAATCCTAATTGATGAATAAAACATTTTTATGGAGTGTTTTCCATGCTAAGCTAACTTTTAAATATATATTTATTCATGATAATAATTCTCACTGCCATGACCTATCTCATCTTTGAGAATATTGTTATTACTGACCAAACCAGATCACGTCACTCACACTTAGAAAGCCAGACTCTGAACCATGGGTTTACACAAAGGAAGCATTTTACTAACCAATGGCACCACATTGGGAGGACAGCAGAGTCTATTAGAAAAGGCTGCCTCCTTGAATGGCAAGTGAAAGGAACATTATATACAAAAGAAAGGAATGCAGGACCTGCTGGAGTGAGGGAGTTTTTCCATTCTCAGGTCCGGGGGGCAGGAGGTGACTGGCGATGGTCCATCAACCACAAGACGACTGCTGCATTTCTGGAATAGGGTGCCAGGCAATTTAATAGTCAATTGCAAGGCTTCTGATAATATTTCTGGAGTAATTGCTCTCTTTTGTGTTCTCAATTAAAACGTCTCTTTGGGTGTTTGTCAGGCACTGATGTCAGCGCCCTCAAAGGAACACATATTTTAAGTATTAGGTAATCCATCGTCATGGCCCTGAGGAATGTAATACAGTGGCTTCTAAGGCAGGGGTCATATTCCTGGCTCAAAGTCCTACCACAGGGTCAAGAAAGGGCAGGGTAGGAAGACAAAGGCTACAAAGTAGGAGAAAAGGAAGTTGTTTGAATTCATTTGAGGTTGCCTTGTATTAGGGACCTTTAACCGTATTTTGATCTTGCTTTACTTTTAGAATATAAAGACAGTTTCCACATAAAAATACAGGTATGTATACAAAAGTAGAAATTTTTCTAATTTCAGAGGATTTCCAGAGGCTCTGAAATATATTCATATGCTCTAGTTTAAAATTCCCACCTTAAATTGTGTCCCATCTTTATAGAAACACCAAATTAAATAAGTGTACCTGTATGACATGTGTTACATGAGCAAACCAAGCTACCGGTTACTAATTAATGCAAAGTATTACTGAGTTAATTTTCAGAATTTGTTATTTCAATAATGCTCCACCCCATTTCCCAAGGCTTTGGAGCAGCTGGATGAGCAACAGAATGTTTGTTGCTAAGGGTATCAGAGAGATGGGCTGTGTACACAGCAGGTACTATATAAAGTCCTCTCCTCAGACAACAGGGGACCAAATTTCTCATCAAGTTAAAGGAGTCCAAAGTGACAGTCATTGGAATATTTAACCCATTTCACTGCTATTTTTAATGACACTGACATTGGTTTGTTAAATGTCAGAAATGGGTTTTTTTAAAGAGAATTTTCTATCTTAATCATTCTCCCTTTTACTCTGAAATCCCTTGTCAATTATTGGAACCTATAAATTGTATGCCTAAAATTTTAATAGTTCTTTTAATTGTGTATGAATTAATGCTACACAGAAATGGCTCAGCCTACACAGAAGTGGGGAACCCAAAGAATTTTCCAAAAGGGAGAAGGAAAACAATCTCTGGATCTCACACAGAGCCAGAAACAGCTGTGTGCCTCTAACCAAAGTGAAATAAACTGGTAATTCATGGGCCACAGACCGGAGTGCTCAAAGGATTTTATGTAGTGAGTAGTGGTGAAAATAATGCTTAAAGAGTGCTCTAGGCCTGCTTGGCAAAACTTAAAAACCAGCCTCATGAAGATCAGATTGTTCACAAATGACTTCATTATGCCTCAGAACAAAACCCAAGAATATTAACAGTAACAAAAATATGAGCACCCAACATGTTGAAATTCACAGTATCTGGCACCTAATAAAAAATTACCAGGCATTCAAAGGAGCAGTAAAATAAAACCAATAAACAAATGGTAAAGATAAGATCCAGAATTGACAAAGATATAGAATTTATAGGAAAATATTAAAATAATTATATCTATATTCAATATGTTTCAAAAAGGAGAAGAAAATTTATGTAAGCATGTTAAGAGCAAACAAAGAATAATCAAATTGAACTTCCGGGGTTTAAAAAATGACAGAAATGTAAAATGTACTGGGTGGTATTACAGATAATTAGAAACTGCAGAAAAAATTACTAATCATCTTGATCTCATAGCAAGTGTTTAGAAACCATCTAAAATTAAATAGAAGAAAAAAGACTGAAGTAAAAAGAACAGTGTAAGGGCAGGAATGACCATAGTGCAGGTTTTCTGATCCCATGCAGACCCGGTAAAGGATGAGTCAGAGTCCTCAGTGGTTTTTTGCAGGTCTTTTATTGGGGTTCACCAGGCATATGGCAGGCAGGGGTGCAGGCTGGGGGGCTGGGAGGCTGGCAGGCCTCCTCGCCCCCAGCAAGTCTTCACTCTATCTGGGCTCTCTGGCGTTCATTCTGCTTCTGCTTCTTCTTCTCTGCTTCTCTCTCAGCTTCTGCTGCTTCTTTCTCGGCTTCTACTGGCGTCCCTGGGACGCCGCCCTTAAAAGCACAGTCTCAGCCCA